ATATATATATATAGTAATATATAGATCTAATAAATATATATATATATATATATATGATATATATATATATATATATATATAATATATATAACATATATATAGTATATATATATTATATATATATATATATATATATATATATATATATATATATATATAATATATCTATATTATATATATATATATATATATATATATATATATATATATATATATATATATATATATATATATATATTATATATATATATATATTATATATATATATATATATATATATATATATATATATATGCCATCACCACACTTTTATTATCAAGGGGTCTATATAAGATATTGAGGTCCCTTTTTTAAAAAAATATATTGTTTTCTTTACGTACTTTACTTTGCATGTATTTGGAAACTTGCAATTGCTTAAGAGAAAACACACACATATATGTCATATATGTGTTTGTATGCAACATACACATTGATATTTAGAAATAGTACTAATACTAATCTTAAATAAAAACCAATTGTATAGTAATAGCAATAGCAATATTAAAGCAATTCAAAAGAGGTAAACAATTTTAACAATTATATTTATATAACAGGGTTGTTCATTCGTATATGCGCGTCTATATATTTTTATATGCGCTTTTATTCATGCTTATATGCGCATTTATTCATTTTTATATGTGCACTTATTCATTCTTATATGTGCATTTATTCATTTTTTCATGCGCCTTTATTCATTCTTATATGCGCATTTATTCATTCTTATATGCGCATTTATTTATTTTTATATGTGGTTTACAAAAGCAATTGTAAAAAAGCAATTTGAACCAAAAACAATCATTTAATAAAATCATTGAAAAAACAGTTTATTATTTCAAAGCAAATTTTTCTTATTTCCTAGTAAACGAGTTTAAAAATACTTATAAGACGAAGACTTTTTACGTTCGATGATGGTTTATTTAACTTAGTATTAGTTCTTAGTTTAATTTTATTACATTGTATTAAATTGAATTAATGTATCAAATTTCTTGATTGATTAAGTTATATTTTAGCTAATTATTTATTTTTCTAGAAATTATTAATATCAATTTTTTACCCTATGGATGGAATAGAAAGTAATCGTAAAACAAGAAAAAATGTTACAAAAGAGCACATTGAAATGCTTAAGCATTTAGTTGAAAGAAATCAATCTACAACAAGCATTTCCACTTCTCTTAATTTATCGAAGCGCACAGTTCAAAATCTTTTAGTTAAGTTAAACAGAGGAGAATTCGACGACATGACTGCATTCAAGTCGTCTTCTGATAAAAAACGAGGTGAAAGACCTATAAATGCTCAAATAAAAAATATTATCGAATTATGCGTACAAGAAAACAACCTTTGCACGCAAGAAGCAATAAAAAAAAATCTTTCTGCAGCAGGCTTCAACATGTCTCAGCCTACTATTTCAAGAAAACTATCAAGAAAACATGTTGTGCATGTGCCAGAAGAACGAAATTCAACACGAATTATTAATGCACGCTATGCATTTGCAAGCAAAATTAACGGAATTTCAGATGAAAAACTTATTTATTTGGATGAAACTGGATTTAATGTGCACACTAACAACACATATGGTTATTCGCTAATAGGTGCGCCAGCAACTTTACAGTCGCCTGCAAATCGTGGTAAGAATGTTAGTTTAGTTTGTGCTGTTTCAACAACGGGAGTGCTTGCTTATGAAATTAAAACTGGAGGCTGGAATGCAGATTCATTTTGTACTTTCATAACTACAATGATGGCACCAGCGATTAGGAATGCCAAGGTTGAAGCGCCGGTGCTTGTTACGGACAATTGTAAATTCCACTAGAGTCTTTTTATTAGGCAAACACTAGCCTCTCATAGTATAGCTATTAAGTATTACATTACATTGTATAGCTATTAAGTATTACAGCTAATAAGTATTGATATTAATAATAATTATAAATAGTTAATTTTAAATCAAGGTAAATGAATAATTAGATAAATAATAAATTAATCAATCAAAAAATTTAATAATAAAATTACAAAGAACTAATACTAAATTAAATAAACTATCATCGAAAACAAAGAACTAATACTAAATTAAATAAACCATCGTCTAATGTAAAAAGTCTTCGTTTTAGTAATTTAAACCTCGTTTACCTGGAAATTTTTGTTTAACCTCGTTTACCTGGAAAGAAAAATGTGTTTTGAAAAAATAAACTGTTTTTTCAAAACAAATTGCTAAAATAATTTTTTTTATTCAAATTGCTTTTTTACAATTGCTTTTGTAAAACGCATATAAGAATGAATAAATGCGCATATAAGATTGAATAAAGGCGCATATAAAAATGAATAGACGCGCATGTAAGAATGAATAACCCTGTAATATAATAATAACAATAATAATAGTAATAATAATATTGATAAATATTAAATTTAATATTAAACAATAACAATAAGTAATAGTGATATGAATAGAAATAAAATAATGTTGATATTTATATTACATATAATCATACCAAAAGCAATAATAATAACCCACAATTAGCGTAACATTTTACAAACAGTATTAACATTTCTCCAAAATAAAAAGACATAAAGATGAGATTTAGTAGTAAAGTTTAGTAATATAAAGTGAATATAAAAAATAAATTATTCTATGAATAAAAGAATGATAAATTATTTCATGATTTTATGCATTGGTTTGTGATTTGATTTGTTATTCTGTACTTAAATGAAAAATGGTTTAGAACATATAATTTAAGGTTGCTAAATAATGGAAGATAATATTGAGAAGTTTTTATAGAAGTAAAAAAATTACATATTGAAAGAGGTAGGGTAACTTGTGTGTGATTTCAGACAAATAAACAATTTAATAGATGAACAAGAGCACACAATTTGATAATAAGAATAGAAAGAAAAGAATATTAGAATTAGAGTGATATTCTTGAAAGTAAATTATTTTAAATGTTTTGTTTTTATATTAGATATTCATAAAAAATTATTGATTCATAAATTATAAGTGCATATAATATATCATATTAGAGTGTTTGTAGTATGTTTGAGAAATAAAATTTATATTAAAAGAGATTTGTTTTTTACTATTACAATCTATTTGACTTTAGAAAAATATATTGCTGGTTTAATACAGTTTTACTGATGTTTTTTCATTTATGAAAAAATTGGGTGCTAGGTTTGAATACTACAAACAACTTTTGGTCCGAATACTCCATTCATGACGAACTTAATAATTAAGTTGCAGCATTAATTTTTACAAAACCAAAACTAAAAAAAAGTTGCTATATAAAAAGTATTATGTAGCTAGATCCGCAGCCATTTTAAAATTTCTGAAATTTCTTATAAACCTTTTGAACATACGTTCAAACACATAACGCTTTTAATTGAGTGTGCATAAATATAGGTTTTTAAGATTTTGGAGCTTTAATGACAGCTTGGGGGAAGAGTTAGCAGAGTCTTAAGCCACAAAAAAACTCCTTGATTCATCGCTCGACAGTTTATTCATTTTTGTTAAATTCATTTATTATAAAGAAGTGCACAACTTTGGAACACATTTATTCATTCACATAATTTTTGAAAAATTATTTAAACAAAAATATGTGTCCTCATTTATCGAACTCTTTGGTGTTATATTGACTTTTGCATTTTTTGCATATTGACTTTTGCATTTTTGCTTTAAACCATTATTGAATTTGACTTGTTATTTTCCGTGGCAATCCACTAACTATTAGAAAATAAAATAACAATTTTTTTTTTTAATCTGACAAGATTGACCAGAAACATCTGTTTTACAGACTGAGTGTTTTCACTTATTTACTTAGTTTTGGAAAACAAAATTTGGAGTTATATTGTAATTACAACATGCAAATATTAATAAAAGAATCATGGAATCCAAATAGTACATCATTTTGAAATTGTTGAATAATTTACAAACCGGTCACTAAATTACTCTAAAAGGGCTGCACAAACCAACTGGGCATATTGACTTTGAATATACTTGATATTTTTGAAACTTTATTACATTATACTCAAAATATTTCATAATGATCCAATTTTTTTTTAATCTAACGAGATTGACCAGAAACATTTATTTTACATACTGAGGGTTTTCTTTTATTTACTTAGATTTGGAAAACAAAATTAGGGGTTATATTATTATACCATGCAAATATGCGTAGAGGATTCATGGAATCTAAAAAGTACATCTCTGAAACTATATTAAAACTTACAGACCGGTCAGTAAATTACTGTGTAAGGTCATTGAAATCTATCAGAATGACCTATTTAACAGGCAGAAGATTCTTCGATAAAGTTAAAATTGAATTTTTTTTTGAAAATTAACACAGCAAATGAATGTCCTGAAATTTGGAGTAATTACAACAGCAATAGGCAGGTATAGCAGCAGAATCTCTACCCTAAAATGTTACAAAAACATTATTAGAAACACAGATACACAATGTCTTAAAAATATTTTGTTCATTTGTTTAAAAATTTAAACTAAATAAGTATAACATAAGAAACTTATTCTTTGAGATTGTTTATTTGAATTATTGACAACGCCTAAGATAAAAAAATGAAAAAAACATAAAAAAATATTTTTGTTCTAAAATTTATTTCTTGGCTTTTAGTAAATGATTAGAAGTAACAAGTTTCAGTAACAAAACAAACTTAAATTAATTTTAATAATAGACACAAGCAAGAAGGTAAGCCAAGTTGTCTATCAACACAAAACATCACAACAATAACATCACAATCACAAAACAAACAGACCTTGTGGCACTAAACGCTTTTAAATCACAATGATATTGATATACTGGTGAATAGCAACACTGTAACTATGTCTTCTAGTTTACATCATCTCGGATTATCTCTTCGCATTAACCTCTCATAGAAACCTTATTATCATTGTTTTAGCGTCCTTGTTTCTGTGCTCGCACGAGTTGGACGTTTCTTATAATGCCGTTTCTCCAACATACACAGTCTTGAACATCTTCTTTCCATAAATGTAACATTTTCAAATCATCTGATACACACTCTTTCTGAAACACAGTTTTTCTGTTTCTACCTCTACCTTTTTTTCCTGAAAGTTCTTACTTTCTACATGCTGATAATCAGTCATCTGCATCCTTACTCTCTACATGCCCAAACCACCTCAATCTTCCCTGACGCACCCTATCAGATACACTCACTTTGTCTAATCTTTTTCTTAAATTACCAAAGCTTTGAAATGGTTATATACAAAGCATTTCAAAGTTAGTATTTGTATATTATATTATTATTAAGTGCTGAAAAATTTCCTAATCATCTAGTTTTTTTCATTAAACATCAGTTATTTGGAACTCACTCCATTCATCTTGTTTTCCTAATTCATTTAATATGCAATCTTCAAAGTCGTTTGTTAATTGTTATCTTGCTGTATAAACTTTGTCCTGCTCTTCCAGTAATTTCTAACTATAAAATTGATTGCTGGTAGCCTTATAAAAAAAGATATATAAAAACAAATTTCAGGGAACATAATATTAGATTTTTTGAGCTCAGTTTTTTTTTTTAATTAAACTTTTTCTGATTTTATTGGTTTGTTACCTTCTGATGCTAGTTCTAGCCCTATTTTTATCTACAACTGAAATTGTACTAAATCAGGTTACTGTTTTTGTATCTTCTGATTTAAACTTACAAATCGCTAATGATAATATTTTTGATTCTGGTACTCCTAATTCTATTGTATACATTCCTTTCTTCAAATTCTGTTGTATATATCCCTTAGGAAATGATTCTTTTAGTTTTCTTCATGAAACACAAGTTAATGAAGAGAATCTTCCAGTTTCCAATTCGGATAAAAAAACTCCCTATTTTATCGAGTGATTTAACCTATTAAATAAAGAATAATAGAATAATATAAGTGTGTGTAGAACTAGAAGGAGAACAAAAGGTAACAAAACAACAGCATCATTAAATGCAACATTCAAATGAACTAGAAATTAATTTTTCATATGAAAAATTAAATTCTAGTTCAAACTATGAAAAATTAAATTCTAGTTCAAACTTTTGAAATGTATAGAAATATTAAATGAGCAATCTCTTTATAATAATACTGGACTTAATAGTAGTAGTAGTAGTAGTAGTAGTAGTAGTAGTAGTAGTAGTAGTAGTAGTAGTAGTAGTAATAGTAGTAGTAGTAGTAGTGCGCTTTCGAGCCTGTTTGACACGATACTCTTGGCAACCATTGCATCCGAGGTAGTGACGAGAAAGAGTCTTACCTTTGCTTTATAAGAAAACGCGAGCAAACGTGAAACTCATATTGTACGTACATAAACTTCATGTTATGTAATGTTAAAACATGCTTAAACATATATCAAGTTCAACAGTTTGATTTTTACTTAAGAACTGCATTTCGTCAACCTTTGCTCAATTTCTAATCTTTTGTGTTTTTATCCCTTAAAAAACAACTTTTAGATAATTTAAAATCTTCAATTTTAAATTATCTAAAAGACGGTAGGACTTGAACCACGGCGCGCTGGTCTTCTGACCAAGCTAGCCGTGGTTCAAGTCCTACCGTCGGCGACCTTTTTTTTTATTTTTTTTGCGCATGTGTCATTATTGAGATACTTATGTTATTTTAGTTAAACTTTTCAAGTTTATTTACAACTAAATTGAGCAAGGAAAATTAGTAAAAAACATGTTTATATATACAATATAAAATCTATATAACTTTTGATTTGCATTTTAAACAACAAAACCGCGTGCCAAGCTGATGAAATTGCCACGCGGCGACCATAACTTTTTTTAAAAATGGTAAGGGGGCTAAAAAAAAGTATATTTTTATTTAGAACATAATTAAAGATTTTAATTTTATATGTACACTAAATTATTTTATAAAATTTATTGTTTCTAAAAATAATTAAAAGTTAAACTATTTATTATTAGCATAATACCGATTTCTAATCTTTTGCATTTATATCCGTTAAAAACAATTTTTATATAATTTTGAATCCTTAGTTCTTAATGCGTGAGCGTAGTCGAGTGGTTAGCGCTGGGCTTCGGAACATAGCTAGAGTGGTTCGAGTCCTACCGATAGCATCTACTGTTTTAATTTTTTTTTTAGATTTTTTTAAATACAAATTCAAATACTTATAAAGTTTTATAGATATTGTATATAGACAACAATTGTAAAGATATTAATCAAAAGTTTGATCCTCGCAATTTGACACAGAACCAACTTCGCTAACGAGAGAAAAAAAATCGTTCACAAATTTAAAATTTTGTTTTTTCGTGAAGTCTTTTAACACTTAGTTTCCAACTTTCTTGACATATTCCAAGTCTTTTTGAGAAAAAACTTTGTTGATCAAATATACAAAAAAAGAAATTCAGCTTTTTTGTATATGATAAATATCGCTGTGGTACAAAGTGCCAACCTAGGTTTTTTAAACAAAATGCCAATCGAGTTTTACTTCCACGCGGTTTTAATCACCACGAGGCTTAGTTAAATGCTTAGTTAAATACTTAAAAAAAGATAAAATTTAAGGCTTAAAAAAAGAATTTTTTACAAATTTTTTCTTACATCTCTCTAATCCTTGACTTTTGGATTTAGATTTATTACATTGATAGTAACATTATCATATTATTATTTTTAGATTATTGTTTGATATTTTTTTTAGAATTTAGATAAAAGCGACAAAAAAAGCGTCTCCCCCCTATCCTTTAGGATTTTAGAGTCACCATTAAATTTTGACATAAGTTGCAAGAAGTGTCTCGCAAATGCCATTTATGTTAAAGTTAGTGTTTACGCAATCAATAAGTTTAATCTTTGTATCTAGGACATTAAAAGTTATCATTTAGATGTTTTCATTTGATTGAGATTATCTTGCGTTATAAACCGGATAATAGTTCTTATGAACTGTAAGCACGCGGATAAAGTGTGCATCAATATCCTAAAGACCCGTATTTTACGGGTCATGACAGCTAGTAAATATAATTAAGCAAAATATATGAATCGCTAACAGTTAGCGATTCATATATTATATTTGATTATATTTATTGCTCATTTAATATTTTTATACATTTCAAAATTTTGAACTAGAATTTAATTTTCCATGGTAATGTTATTTTTATTAAAACATTTTAGCCTAACTTGAAAAAAGGGGACATGTTATGTGAATTTTTGCAGGACACGTTCCCTTTTTCATATTAGAGATTCATATGTAAGTTCACTTAACTAAGGTTTTAAGTACTTCTGTGGTTACAAGAAACATTGAAGAAAGTATGAAATAAAATTAGACAGTTTAAACTTACATGTATCCAAATTAGTATATTTTTTCCCTTGATTTTTCATACATAAATTGATTCAGAATCTCTTCAAAATCTAGACTTTTTGTAACTTAGCTTTTGATAGACATTAATGCCATTAATCATCTTCATAATCTTCATTTTCACTGTTTTCTAGCTCATTTATAAAGTTCTGAATTTCTGATTCAGCTAATTGACGTCCTTTATAAGTCATTATTTATATGTTTTTTTAAGTTAACATTAGACCGATAAAATACTTTATTATCGGCCAAAAAGTTATATATACTTTTAAAAAAGTTATATATACTTTTAAAAAAGTTATATATACTTTTAAAAAAGTTATATATACTTTTAAAAAGTTATATATACTTTTAAAAAATTATGAAATTCTTTTTTTTCGGACTGTTGTGGACCATATGTTCATAATTTTAATTCAGAAATACAACCCGGTAGGAAACAAGCTAGTGACTAGCTAACTTTATTGTTTCTTTTTTTTTTCGTATATATTTTTTTTCGCATTTTATTATTTCCTAATGCCATTAGCATCTTAAAAAACTTGATTTTTAGTGTTGAGTCTATTATAATTATGAGGATAACGGAACTTTAAATATGGCAACTTTCTAGCAATGTGTCGCTAGCTCCATATCGTAGCTTTGTAGCTAGCTACAAAATAACTACAAATCTATAGCTGGTTAATAGCTACATATCAAACTTTTTTAGACAACGGCTTTATTACGATATGACGCTAACTACAGTAGCCAGTGGGTCTTTAGCTTATTAACCTGGCTGTCCTCTTAACCAAATGTTTGTCTTTATCTTAACAAATATCGATAGCTTTTCGCTAACTTTAAAATGCTAGCAATCCTTGTTGTAATGATTGTTACTCAAAACAATTCAGAATAGCAATTAGCGATTGCAAAACAAGCAATTCCCTTCTGCGAATTGCACAAAAACTTATAACGAAAGTATTCCCTTGAGAGAATTCCGCACGAGGAATTCTCGCTTAAAAGCCAGTGCGCTGAATTAAACTTTAGTAGTTGAAGTTTTGACGTGAAACTATGCAGATTTTTATATTTAAACTTGTTGTGATAATTTAATATAAAAATATTGAAATAAATATTAAATAAAAATCATAGTCGAATTCTCTTTAACATATATTATAATAAATATAAAGACAAAACATTACACTCGTTACCAAATCGCTGTCTTTATCGTTACAAATATAGCTAGTTATTCGCTAGCCGTTTTCCCACCGGGAACAGACCATAATATTTTTGAGATTATGTGTAAAACATAGAGATATATTTAAAAACGCCAATAGGCGTACTTTGGATCTAGCGAGAGTACCAAAAGGCGTACTTAGATGCAGAAAGGTTAAATCCAAACAAATCATCTTGAAATCATTATAGTTTTTTTTAACCTAAAAATATTTTAAATGAAATAAACACTTTTAAATTATACTGTTATGTCAGATGGGCTAAAAAAATATTAAAAGCTGAATATTAGGGTACCCCCAAAATTGTTGGGTCTTTAGCCCCGGGCTTTACGTGCCTAAATTCACATTTATGCTATTTAGGATTATGCGGATTCCTAAATATGATTATTGCATTTATCTAGGGCAAATTCTAAAAAATTCTTGTAGAATACGACTCTTTCTGGTTTGTATTTTAGTCTCAATGGCGATCAAATGGATTAGACTATTTGATTACATAAAATGATGAACACAAGGTCTATCAGAGCGTTACGAGGTTTTTTTATTAAAGGGAAATTAAGTGGCTTTAATTTTTCTAAATTTTAATTTTTTTATACATACATATATATATATATATATATATATATATATATATATATATATATATATATATATATATATATACACTGGCGGATTATCCATTAGGCTGAGTAGGTTAAAGCCTAGGGGCCCGTCAGCCATAGGGGCCCGGTTTGGAAGATGATTGCAATTTTTTTTTACAGCAAATATCGATATAGGTATGTATCATGGATAAATGAATGTATCAGAACCAAATGTTATTTTTAAACTAAGAAATCAATTTTGTAGCCCAGTTATGCTGCCCAAATGTTTGTTGATTACTTTGTCTTAGTCAAAATTTTGCTTTATCAGAACCAAATGTTATTTTTAAACTAAAAAATCAATTTTGTAGCCCAGTTATGCTGAGAATGGTATTCTTGAACAAATTGACACTACTGACAGCATACATAATTGTAGATATTTTTGGGATGCTTTATGCATATCCTTAATATAAATTAAGAACAATAATAGACCTAGGATTGAATCCTGAGGAACTCCACACGTATAATCGAAGGCTCCTGACTGTTCTAGTAATACAAATTGCTTTCTGTTAGACAAATGGCTTTGAACCCACTTAAATGTTGAGCCTATTATACCGTAATATTTTAGTTATACCGTTATATATATATATATATATATATATAAATATACATATAATAATGCAGTATCTGCATTGTATATTTTTCGATTTCAGGTCATAATGGAATATCATCACAAGTCTGGGTATCAAAAAGCTAAAGACCGTGAAGATAAAAAGAAACGTGAGAAAGCGGTCATTTTAATAACTGTTAAAATAACTGAGCTTTTTCCTACGATTAGTGTCAATGTCAATAGAGAAGACCCACCATCGAATTCACCTTTACCATGTGTTGGTCAGTGTGGTTTGCCTGGTCAATTTGGTCATGAATTTGAACGTGATAACAGTGCTGCAGCTGTATGCATTCAATCTATCTCTCACTCTGAATCTGATGATATGGTTGACGCGGAGACACTTTCTCAGAAACCAGAAGCACAAGCTGGTTCCAAAGGTGATGACAGTTCCTTTTCCACTGACATTGGGCAATGGTCTGAAGTGGAAATCAATGATACATTCTGTAACTTTTGGGTAACTCGTGGAAGTGAATGTTGTCAACATTCAAATGCTGACTTCACTAGTTCAATGCAAATTGATGGAAAACAGAAGCGCTACTGCTCACAGAATCTCTTTTATCGTGTTCATTCTCGCAATGGTGAGAAAGTCCCAAAGTCATGGTTGTGTTATTCACCAGCAACATCTCGCGTTTACTGCTTTGTATGTAAATTATTTTCTGCTGAAGATAATTCATTCTCAAGGAATGGTTTTTGTGATTGGAAAAATGCAGATTCACGAATACAGTCACATGAAAACAGCATTGCACATAGAAATGCAACAATCACATTCAGCCAAAGAGTACAAGTCAGAGGATTTGTAGATTCAGCAATAGTTGAGCAATACAGACAGGAATGTGCATATGCAAAATCTGTGCTAGAAAGAGTTGTCTCAGTTATCAAATTCCTTGCTGAAAGAGGACTCGCATTTAGAGGACATACTGAAATATTGGGGTCAAGTTCTAATGGCAATTTTTTGGGAATTTTGGAGTTGATTGCTCAGTTTGATCCATTCCTCTCCAGTCATATTGACAACCATGGTGGTAAGGGGAAAGGCTCTGTTTCATACCTGTCATCAACAATTTGTAATGAGTTAATTGTTGTCATGGGAAAGCAAGTTATGAAAACAATATTGTCTGAAATACGTGGAGCAAAATTTTATTCGATTTCTGTTGACTCTACTACAGACATATCTCATGTTGATAGGCTGTCATGTGTCTTTCGATATGTTTTGAACGATGGCCCTATAGAAAAGTTTGTTCAATTTTTAAGCATGAAAGGACATGGGGCAGAAGATTTGTTTAACAATTTATACAGCTTTCTGGAAGAAGCAAAGTTTGATATAAAATATTGCCGAGGTCAGTCCTACGATAATGCTAGCAATATAGCAGGAAAATATTCAGGGTTACAGGCACGCATTCGAGAGAAGAACCCATTGGCTGAATATGTGCCATGTTTTGCACACTCCCTTAATTTAGTCGGTGCATCAGCTGTAAACTGCGTGACAACAGTGAGTGGATTTTTTGATTTTGTACAAAACTTGTATGTCTTTTTAAATGCATCAACCCAACGGTGGGAGCTTCTAACCAAAGGATTGGATAGTAACCAGTTAGTTCTCAAACGCCTTTCTGATACTCGATGGTCAGCACATTCTGCAGCAACTAAAGCATTGAGCAAAGGCTTTAAAAATGTTAAGACAGTGTTAGAGAACATTGCTGAGGACCCCGAGGAGAAGGTTGAAGCTCGCACTACAGCTGCAGGAATTGCAAAGAAGATGGATCAGTTAGAATATGGAATTTTATTAGAACTCTGGACACCCATATTAGATCGCTTTCATAAGACCAGTTTAAAACTGCAAAGTCCACAACTTGATCTAAATGAGGCTGTTCAACTGTTAACTTCACTAAAAGAATATGTAAATTCACTTCGAGCACAGTTTGATTTCTTTGAGAAGAAAGTAAAGGAAATAACAGGGTCAACTTCTTATAAAGAAGAGAATCAGAGGAAACGAAAGCGAAGTGTTCAATTAACCCGTCATGATGGATCAGCTGATGAAACAGTGTTTTCGGCACAACAGAAATTTCGAGTCATGGTTTTCTTGCCAGTACTTGATCACTTGAGGTCAGCATTATGTAAACGATCAGAGGCATACAGTGGTGTATGTGATAAGTTTGGTTTTCTGAGAAACATTCGATCACTGGAACAGTCTGATTTGCGAAGAGCCAGTAGAAACTTGATAAATACTTATGTAGATGATTTGGAAGAGTTATTTGAAGATGAAATACTTCACTTCAAAGAATATTTGTTAGCTGATACGTACTTGCATCAGAATGAGAAAGAACTGAAATGTAGCATAGAGCTGTATATGTATCGGGCTTTGAGAAACAGCAGTGCACTACAAGATATATTTCCAAATGTTGCCACAGCACTTCACATATACCTCAGTTTGATGATCACCAACTGCAGTGATGAAAGATCATTCTCTGCATTGAAACTGATAAAAAACTATCTGCAAAGTGCTTTGGGTGATGACAAACTGAGTTCCCTTACTGTTATGTGTACTGAATCTGACATCCTAAGAAGCTGTGACTTCAATGAAATTTTATCAGACTTTGTTAAACAAAAATGCAGAAAAATGAATTTCTGATCGTGTTGTTTTTTTCTTTGGGTCAGCCATTTATAAAATATATACTAGTATCTAATATACCTGATAATTTGTTAGTAATTTTGAAATAAAATTAGATTTTATTATAGATATTATTATTTTAAATAAAATTTAAATTGTACTTTTTGACGTATTTTTTAGAAAAATATAGGTATATAGGGCCCATGAATTAGTTAAGCCTATAGACCCATAATTTGATAATCCGCCACTGTTCCCAAGTGAACGCTTTTTTTTTAAACAAAAACAAAGAAACCAAACTTAAATACGTAAATTAAAGTAAAATGAAATAAGAGAATAAAAAAATAAATAAAAATGTTTCATAAAAAAGAAGAAAATAATATTGCAAAAAAAAGCAATAAAACAGTAAGAAAGTATAAAATAAGATATAAAACATGAAATAATTAATAATTCAAGCCGTTGAATGACGTGTGCAACCTCAACCAGCTTTAATCGGCGCTACGAAAGTTTTTAAAATAGTTTTTAAAATAGCTTTAAATTAATATCTTGATAAATAGTAAACTGTTTGTCTTTTATTTGAATTTAGTTGCTGTTTTTTATTTGTGTTTTGTAATTTAGGTGTTTTGATTTTATTATTATTTTAATGTTTATTTATTTACAAAAAAAACTTAATTATTTTGTTTATTAAAAGACAACTGTGAAAATGAATAACAAGAAAAAAGAAGAGGAAAAAAGTTTAACAAGTGGTTTCAGAAAGAGAAAAAATAAAGAAATAGCTAATGAAAGTTTTGCAAAACAGCTGCTAAAAATACCAAGACTGACATCTTTTTTTGTTTCCACTTTAAACACAGTGCAATTGGAAAATATTAATAGAATGCTAGATGAAAGTGCCGATACGACCGAAAAGTATTCTGAAATAGAAATATCAAATATGTCAAATATAGCTAAAGTACCGCTAAAAAAAGCAGAAGTTAAAAACATATGTGGTTTATCTGAAATTATTTGTGAGCAATACCCTTCTGATTTTGCAAATTTTAAAGATGTTATAACGGTAGAAGAAAGACAATTCATTTTATCTGTCGGTCCTTGTCGTCCTGAAGGACCTTTTCCTAAAGAAATCGTTCTTTCTCAATAAATTACTATAAAAAAGTTACAAAATCAGAAATATCTATTGAAAATACTTGGTTATGCTACTCACCAAAGAAAAACTTAGTTTACTGTCAACCTTGTTGGTTATTTTTAAGCGAGAAAAAAAATAGTGGTTGGATACGAGGAATAAATGACTGGCAAGGACTTTCAAAAAAAATAAAGAAACATGAAATTACTGAGGTTCACATAAATACTTGTTTTATTTTGAAACAATGGAAGGAGGAAAAAACAATAGATACTATGTTACTCGATAATATTCAAAAGGAACAAACATTTTGGGAAAAAGTTTTAGAAAGACTTACTAAAATAACATTAAAATTAGCTAAAAATTGTAGTTCTTTTCGAGGGCAAAATGGTTCACTTGAAGATATTTATAATGGTAATTTTTTATCAGATGTTCAACTATTAGCGGAATATGATATTGTTTTGAAAGAAGTGATATCTTTGCCTCGTGGCCATGTTAATTACTTATCGCCTCAAATTCAAAATGAAATTATTTGTCTTTTGTCAAAACATTTAGAAAGAAAAATTATCAATGATATCAATTTAGCTCCTTTTTTTTCAATGATTGTCGATACTACTCAAGATTTATCAAAAACAGACCAACTTAGTTTTTCCTTTTGATTTGTTAAAATTTGTTATAACATAAATGGATCTCCTCTCCTAATAAAAATTGAAGAAAAATTTATAGAGTTTTTTAAAGTTAACAATCAATCGGGAAGTGCTATATCAAATCAAATTATTAATATACTAACATCATTTGGTCTTGATTTGAAAAAATGTAGGGGACAAGGTTATAATGGGGCAAGCAACATGAGTATAATTTACTCTGGAGTACAAACAAGAAGAAAAGAAATTGAAAAAAACGAAATATTTAATCATTGCGCGGCACACAATTTAAATTTAGTAATAAATCATGCTATGAATGGGGTGCCAGATATTAGCAACTGCTTTTCTAGTATACAAGAAATATATACATTTTTTGGTATTAGCATAAATAGGTGGGACATATTATCAAAAATAACAGGAGAATCAGAAGTCACGTTAAAAAAATTAAATCCTACACGCTGGGCGTCTCGTTTATCATCTTGTATAGCCATAAAACAAAGATATGTAGACGTAATGAAAGCTTTATCTAAAATTATTTTGGAAAGCAATAAAAAAGCAGAAATAGCACAAGCGACCGGTTTAAGAAAGAAAATGGATTGTTTAGATTTTCTTTGCATTTTGGTGTTAATTATTAAAATATTAGCACCATTAAATATCGTTTCAAAATTATTAGAATCTAAAAATATGGATTTGGATAAAGTTTGTTCATTATTAGAAACTGGAATAAAAGAAATAAAATCACTGCGCAATAATTTTGATGATATTCTTGCAAAAGCGAAAGCTCTTGCTATAAAGTGGAATATAGTTCCAACTTTTAAACAATCACAAATAAAACGAACAAAAAAACTGTTTGATGACGGTGGCGTAAATTTTCGTTTTGAAACGGCTGAACATCAATTTAAAGTTGATGTATTTAACACAGTTATAAATATTGTTACAAATCAGATAGACTCTCGTTTTACTTCCCTGAAAACAGTAAATAACTATTTTTCATTTTTAAATCCCAAAAATATAATATTATTACATTCTGAAAAAATATTTACACATGCAACAAATTTGTAAAATAAATATCCGATAGATATATCTGATGCCTTTCCAAATCAAATAGTTTTGTTTAAAAAAACTTTCAAAATGGAGCTTAAAGATGTGGACAGTATTTTGGATTTGCTCAAATTAATAACAATAACATATTGTGATATGAGTTGCTTTTTCACTGAAATAATCGAAGCACTTACGCTATATTTGACATTACCCGTTAGCGTGGCAAATGCAGAAAGATCTTTCAGCACGTTAAAAAGAATCAAAGCGCATTTAAGGGGGTACACACCTAAAAAAATTCAAAATTTTCAAAATTTAAATTATTCATTTTTCTGGTCAATTTGAAATTGCTGATTCTGAAAATAAGATCAAAATTTGATTAAACAGCATCTAAATTAGTCTAATTTTGCATTTAAAATGTTTATAATTTTTTAGTTCCTTAGCAACTTAGAATTTATTATATTTCTTATCTATATTTGTGTTCATTCAGTATGGAAATTAACTTTATATCATATAGCTTCTTGTTTTGACTTAAAGACATATTTTCAAGCAACACAACCACGGTATTTCCATATATTTACTAGATGCATGTAATGCAAATTAGGTTAAGTTCTCATTATTAAATAAAACCAAATTTTTTACTTATAATGGGCTCAAATAGCAGAAAACTGAAATCAAAAGCTAGAAAAAGAAAATTTTATGGTAACAGATTCACTCAAAACCAAATAAATTCTGGTTTGTCCAAAGCAACAACAAAAGAAACAAACGAAATAAGTATATCTGCATCAGCTAAAAAAATAAAAATAAATGACAAGTTTAAGTATGAATTAGATACAATTCGCCGTCAAAATATTGAATGCTATGTTTTTTTTAACACTCAAATCTTTAAGAACATTGTTGATAAAGTTGGTTTTTGTCCAATATGTCTTGGAAAGTTAGATTTTAATCATAATATAAAAAAAAAAAAGGATTATCGCATCTTTTTATACTTACTTGCTGTACCTGTGAATGGAAACACGTGTTTTATACCTCCAAAAAAGTTTTAAGTTTTAACAAAAACAATGGTGGTAAGAGATATGATATTAACTATCGCTTTGTTTTAGCATTTCGTGAAATTGGAAAAGGTCATTTAGCTATCAAACGTTTTAGTTATTGTATGAACATGCCTCAACCAATGTCTTTAAAATGTTACAATGTTATAAATGAGAAATTCCACAGATCTTATGTTTCAGAGTCTGAAAAATCAATGAAAAAGGCAGCAGAAGAATGTTCAGTGAATGGTAGTTCTTCTATAAATAATGTTACTGCAAATTTTGATGGATCATGGCAGTGTCGTGGTTTCAGCTTCATAAATGGAGTCGTTACTGCTATTTCAAACGGTAAGTGTATAGATGTCGAGACATTAACAAAAAGTTGTAAACAGTGCCAATATTGGAAATGCAAAAAAGCCACTTCTGAATATGACTGTTGGAAAGCAGAGCACAACTGCTCTATTAATCATAAGGGAAGTTCTTGTTCAATGAAAACTGCTGGGGTACTAAAAATCTTTTAAAGATCCATTACTACAAGAAAACTTAGATATTTATTTTATCTGGGTGATGACGACAGTAAATCATTTCTTGAAGTTGTTAAAAATAACCCTTATCCTGGATTAACAATAAAGAAACAAGAGTGTGTTGGCCATGTCCAGAAAAGAATGGGAACACGTTTACGTGCGATAAAAGTTTCTCTCAAAGGAAAAATTCTTTCTGATGGAAAAACAATATCAGGAAAAAACCGTCTTACTAATCAAGTCATAAACACACTTCAGAACTATTATGGTTGTGCTATTAGAGCTAATAAAGGAAACTTATGTAGCATGAAAAAGGCAGTAGCTGCAATTATTTATCACTGTTCAGAAAATACTTCGCCTGAAGAACGTCATAAGTATTGTCCATTGAATTCATGGTGTAAATACAAGACTGCCATTGAAAATAAAAATAATCAATATAAAAGTAAAGTCGATATTCTTGCTGCTATTGCAGATGAAATCAAAAATATTTTTAGTTATAAGGATTTAGGCAATGATACTTTACTTGAAGCTTGTCTTGTCGGTGAAACACAAAACGTTAATGAAGCTTTGCATAGTTTAATATGGAAACGGTGCCCCAAAGAGGTTTTTGTAGAAAAGTTATTAATTGATATAGCAGTAGCATCTGCAGTGCTATGTTTCAATGAAGGTGGTTATGGTTGGTTAAGTGTTTATCATAGCTTTGGTTTGCAACCTGGTCAATTTTGTATATACGGCTTACATAAATATGATATAGAACGTTTATAAAGTTCTAAAATTAAATCAAGCGATATTGTTAAAAAACAAAGAAAAAAGCTCAGAGCAATAAAAAAGGGTTTTGATGATAAAAATATTGCTTCAGAAGGTGAAATGTATGCTTCTAGAACTTTTTAGACTTAATAGTAATTGTTTAGATTAGTTTTTATTATTTTAATGAGTTTTTCTCAGATTCACATTTTTTTAACTTTGATCCTAAATAACTTAAAATCTGTTTTGTCAAACTTATTGAAATTTTCAGGATTTATTTTTTACATAGATGTTCTGAACTAAAAAAATATTATTATTTTTTTTTGTTTGCTTATTTTTATATGCTTTTTTGTACTTCTTTTTGGGGAAAATTACCCGAACTATTGTTATTGAGCAAATAAAAGTTATTCTTTGGATTTATTAATATATTTTTAGTTCAGAACATGCATTGCATCATTATTGATTAGTTTACAAAGTTTTTTGTAAATATCTTTTTGCAATAAAAAGATATATTGGAACAAAAAAATTGCATAATTAGGGTATTTGCATAATTATTTTTAAGAATAATTATTTTTTGTAATTTATTTTTTATTTTTTTTATTTGTAATTTTATTTTTGTCAAAATAAATCAAAAAGAGATAACTAAGAACCAATATTTTATGAAATAATTTTTTGAGGTATGTGCCACCTTAAGGACAACGATCGCACAAAACCGTTTGTCTGGGTTAAGTTTATTAGCTATTGAAGCAGAAGAAGCAGCTAAATTAGATTTAAAAGATGTGATAAACCAATTTGCAGCTATGAAGGCACGAAAAAAACAATTTCGTTAGAACTTCTACATACTATACATACAAAACTTTCTGTCATTAATGATAATATATCATTAGTTTGTGTTTTAGAAAACAGTTTTTTATTTTCATGTATAACTTATTTGTCTAGAAGAAAGATAAAGGCAAGGTGGAGGGGAGGGGGGGAAGGAAATAGAAAAGAAGTAATTTAGGGGCCTGGATTAAATTTTTGCGGGGGGGGGGGGGGGGGAAATTTTTGCAGTAGCGTAGCGACAAAAAATTGTCGCTACGCAGTAGCGTAGCGTAGCAGTAGCGTAGCGACAATTTTTTGTCGCTACGCTACTGCAAAAATGCATAATTTTTTGCATGCCTTTATAATAAAAATTAAGAAAAAAAATTGCAGCATTTGTAAAAATATAAATTATATACTACGTCTTGTTATATCACAGAGTCAGTGAATCTATTGGTTTGCAAGAATTAAACTCATTTTTAAATTAGCGCTACAGTCATTTTTTAAACTAAACTTGTTTTTTAGTTGGTCCCCGAATATACATATTTTTTTGCATTTTGATATAATAAAATTAAAAAAAAATTACAATATTTGTAAAAATATAAATTATATGCTATGTCTTGTCATGTCACAGAGCGCAGTGAATCTAACGGGTTATGCATAAGTCTTCGAATTTTTTTATAGAGTCGTCAAAAAATATTGTTAGTTAGATAAAAAAATGAAACTATACGGTAATAAAAAAAATTTATTCTAGTATTTATTAATATATTTAACATATTTAATAGACGCCTCTATCAGCGATTTTTCTAAATTTTGTTTTAACACTTACCATTAGTCTTTGTAACAGATCTGGATCATTTTCTTTTATTTCATTTAACTTGCTCTTTATTCTTCGAACTAATTGATATATGCTACGTGCTCTCCAACCATCACTCTATACCATCTGACTTAAAATAGCCCAAAATGTTTCAATTGGTCTAGCCTGTGGAACATTTGGTGGATTAGTGCATTTTTGTACAAATTCTATGGAATTATCAATAAACCAATTTTCTGCTTTTTTAGCATAATGAGCTAAAAAAACAGAAAATGAGCAGTTGCAAGATCTGGCTAAAACACAAAATTATTATCTTTATGATGTTCTTTAACAAATGGTATAAGTCTTTTCTTCATACATTCTTTCACATATGTATTGGATGTTATTGAATTCTTTAATCTATGTATATAAGATTCACAAAATCCATTTGAAGAAATGCAAATCCAAACCAATATCTTTTCTTCGAATTTTTTTTCAACTTATATTTTACATTACCAGGGGCTAACAATTTATTATTTGTATATTATATATCATTTCCAGGTATATTTGAGTTTTATAGGTTAAAATATTTTTCGTCATCCATGATTATATCTTTTTCATGGAATACTTTATTAATTAATCTTCTCGATGATGTTGCTGCTCTCTGTTTTTGATCTTTTTCATACAAAGGTGCTTTTTTTTTTTTTGTAGCATTTAATATCTGTTTTGAAATTAATAGTTCTTGAAATTGTGCTTTGGTTCACCTTAAAATATGAAGCTAAATACTTTTGACTAATACCAGTTGAATTATTTAGCATTTTAGTCAATCGTTTGACTTTTTTCTTATCCATTTTTGAAGAACAACCTGATCTAACCAAATCATTATACACACCATACTTCTCATACCTTGCAAGAATACTAAATATAGTTGACTTTGGTATTCCTTCATTTTTAAAATGTTTATATGTTAATTTCTTTTTATCACTTGAACGATTTTCATAGAACGTTACAATTCGTTTTGCGAGGGCTTCTCGATCAAATCTTGTCATTTTTTTTGTATAGAAGTCTAGATAAAAATTAAAAGTGATTTAAATACATTAATGTTTGATCTTTAAAATAAACAATAAGTTGAAGGTTGAAAAATTATTCTTCTTATTTAAATCAGTTTCAAAAAAAGTTCGAAGACTTATGCATAACCCGTTATTGGTTTGCAAGAATTAAAATTTTATATCGACTTAATAGTAATTTTTTAAACTAAACTTGTTTTTTAGTTGGTCCCCGAAAATACACATTTTTTTTCTGGTTCCCGAAAATGCATAATTTTTTGCATGTTTTTATAAGGAATTAAAGTATAAAATCTCAGAAGTAGTAAAATTTTTATTCTCACATTTATATAAAAAATAATTATTTCTAAGTTATGCATTTCAGTCAAATGATTAGTTATAAGACTTTTTATTTTTTATTTCTACATTGATTTTAAGAATGCATTTCGATAGCAAGTTATAATTGAACGTGTTTTTGATGGTGTAAGATAAATTTTTGCCGCTGGTATATTTAATTGTAGACTTTTTTTTCAATTATGCTCAGAATTGTTAGTCAAATTTGTTATTTATTTAAGTGTTGTGATCAAGTAACACTAGATAAACACGTTGAAAAAACTCTGAGATTAAATAATTTTTTCATATACTTTGTGCGTCTATCTTTGTTGTAAATTTTTTATGGAGTTAAACCTAATTTTTGAAGAGCGGCTTTAGGTACAATAGCTTGTGATTTTAGTCACAATTAAAAAAATTTATTGTACAAAGAGCCACAAATTTTTAGGCGCTTTTACATGACGGAGTTCTATAATTCAATACTTTATACTGATATTAATACAGATTAATTAATATAGAGATGTGATCATATCAGTTTCGCTATTTTTAGACCAGCATTGAGTTTAGACATTCAATAAATCCGTTAAAAAATCCTTGTGCGACGTTTTTAAAACCTTCGTCTAAATTTAAAAGATAGATTTTTTTTTAATGAATTGCTAATTTAATTTGATAAAAGTTCATAAATGATCTCCTTGTTATGAATTGTTCTGCCTTAGAGCATAATCAAGGAAACTGTATTAACTAAATTAAATAAACTTTATTTTGTCTTTAAAAATAAAGCCGATCTTGATATCAAAACAAGTAAAAACAGGCGCTCTAACTACTGAGCTTTAACTGGAAATTTTCTATAGCTGGAGTGGCTATAAAATTGTCAAGAAAATAAAAAAGTAAATTTTTTTATATCTTAATTCTAAATACTTTGGTTTGCAAAATGTTAGTCATTTTTAAAATAACGCTAAAGAAACTAAATTTTTCAAATTAAGTT